CGAAAAATAAGTTGACGTTTGAATAACGATGATTTATTTAAATACTAAATTTTGTTTTAAATAATTAAAAGTCTTTTGGTTAAATCTGTTTTGACTCCTGCCTCGTGACACACCGCTCGGGACGGCGGGGCCGGTTCTGGTAGGGTGTTACAGCTAACCTGTGTTCTTTTGGGTAACCGGCAGTTTTGCTAACAAAGAGAAGCCTGACATGGGGGCCACCAGGTTGAGCACATCATTGCAAACGAATCTATCAAATGAAAATGGCTATTTTAGTTCTTCAAGAAACATGAATTGAGCAAGTAAAACAGGCAAAGAGATATTTTTTTAATTCTATGTTACCATAATATCCCCCAATGCACACAATTGTCTGACATGGTCGTTAAACTGAATACCATAGAAAAAGAAAATGTCATGGATTGGCTAAGTGAATGTTAGATTTGGCCATGAAACTATCACATTTCACAAAATTCAAATAATGATAAGAGTCCAGTTCCTAGAGATTAAAATTTGAAGAAATTGTTAGACATTAAAAATGAAACGTTCACTACAATAATTTGAATATAAAGTTGATTCATTTACATAAAATGTGTACCTCACTTTTGAATTCAGGCTTGGTCAATGTTACTTATAAATTGTATAAAGCTGGTGGTTTTAAGTGGATATTTTAAAAATGGAAAGAACAGAAGGTGCTATAAATATATAGGTATTTTGGTTGAGTATCCATTTACGGCAATAAAATGATCTTTGCTGCAGCACGATTAAGGCCATTACTCATTAGGATGAATTGAGGATCCGTTCGTCACTCATGAAATGCAAAGTAAAGTAATGAAAAGGAAAGCATAGGATCAATTTTTAGGAAAAGAATACATGAAATAAGTGTCTAATCATTTAACAAAAAACTGAACAGTAAGAAAATGACTTACTGTCATTGTTACCTCTTAAACCCATACATTTGCAAAACTGTGGAATTTTTTTCGGTAATAATCAAGCAGTGTATCTTTTAAAGAAAAATAGAAGACTTAAAATCACACCACACTAATCCATCACCTCATTAGAATACCCATAACTTGGGCCTGACTTTCATTAATTTTCATTTTAAGGGAAAGGGAGGTCACCCTTAAAAACTGAACACGGACAAAGAATATAGAAAATAAAGAACTAATCATTTACAATATGAGTTGAATGAATACATGAAATAAGGGTCAAATCATTATAAAAAACCGAACATTAACAAAAATGACTTACCGTCATTGTTACCTCCTGAACCCATATATTTGCAAAACTATGATTTTGAACACTTTATTAAACCTACTCCTAGAAATCTGCAAGGAGTAGAAAACTAAAACAGCCATTTTGAAAAAATCCCACCATTGGCACTACCATGTGGTTAAAATTCAGATTATTAACCAATCGAAAATTCACATAAAACATTCGGAATAGGAAAAAGACTATGGCAAAGCTAGTATGCTACCCTTAAAATGTTGGCTCTATCCTTCGAAAATCAACGTGTTGACCGTGTTGCTTCTCAATTGACCTCATTGACCATCTAGCTCCGCTAATTCACCTGCAAAATAATCACTAAAAAGAACTAAGAATATATTAGTGGCTCGAGACGCGTCAGACGCTGTCCTAAGGAATTATTTCCGGCGTACGGAAATTTCCCCCAAGATATAACGAGCCCTTCGGTTATAAAACCGGTACCAGAACTAACGAGAAGAAAATAGTATATGAACCCAGCAATAAACTATTTTTGATGATAAGCACTTATAAGGTAGTTATATGTAATACTCGTGTTTTCCCAAATAGCATGAAGCTTAAACCTTCCCTAATAGGAGCACACAACAACTATATGTATACATGTATGTAATCCTTTTTCACAAAAAATTCTTACGTAGCAACATGCATTAGGGGTATATATATACAAATTATATAATTTAATACACCAATTTTATAGGTTGGGCACAATTTTTAATATTAAATACAACATTAGTGGAATAACTTAATAGTAATTAATTAGAAGTGAACGTTACATGTGGACAAATGAATATCATACTCATGCATACGTTACATGTATGCATTAATATTAAATAATATGTACCGTTACATATTATAAAATAGTGTAGAAAACACAATTAATAGAAATAATAATTTATTCATTTGAAATATTTTCAAAATTTCCAACATAAAATACCATAAGAATATTATTGCTGCTAAAATGAAATTTTGACACGTACGAATAAACAGCAAACAAACAGGTGTCAAAATACACAATACGGTTTTTCGGTAATTTTGTTTTCTTAGTGAAGTTTTCCTCTCACCGCCAAAAAGTTAAACTTTAATGTTTAGCTCGTTTGAGTACTTCAAATGGGAGTTAGAGCAGAATGTGTGCAATTAGTTAGACTAAAAACTGATATATAAGTTGTTTCTGGAGCAAAAATGCATTTTGTTCTAAACTATATAACTATTAATTACTTACCTAACACATTTTTAACATAGGGCCCAGGCCAAGTTTCAGACTTTCAGTAGATCACATGGGAGAATATACTACAAAAATAACTACCGATGGAATACATCAACACCTAGTCAAAGTTTTTAGAGTCTATAAGGAAATATACATTAACTTTTTACTTAGCAAATGTAAAGAAAACACACATAGATTTCCCTTATTTTGTTTTGCAGAATCAATGTAATTATCTTGGGGCTTCGAAATGCCTTCTTGAGTTGCAAGATTTCCCTGATTTATTTGAAATGCTTGCTAAATTTTGTACTATTCTCTGGGGGAATGATATTCTACCAAAATCGGAGTGAGAATACAATATCTGATCTCAATCTAGGCCCCATAAGAGAATTGATGAATTCCTGAAAGTCTAATTCTACGGCTTTAGACGAAATTCAGATCAATATCTGTGACTGTAGATACGACATATCAAAAATAAATATAAAGAGTCGGGATTGGGAGATAATACTAACCAATAATCAGAAGATCGGCAGAGATGAGCTTTCGGAGCATAGTTGAAATCGCTGAACTCGATAAATCTAAAAACTTCGCCTCACAAATAAAAGAAAGCTGACCGGAAGTTAAAATACTTATGCATAGCAGAGCGAAGAGCGGGCTTCTTAGTATGAAAGCGTTATGCTCGAGATGGAATATGGAGGAGCTCGAATGAGTCGAGAGTGCCAGAGAAAGAACATATACGAAGGAGAAATATTAGCTGTATTTACGTAAATGTCCTAGGTCTTGAGCGGGAAGAGACTTAAGTGGATTAATATATATAGATGCTTACAACTGTCCATTACACAGCTATTGCCTCTAAAAGCTCATTTACCATGTTGATGTGCACATTAAGAGGCCGTTTGGCAACACAGTTTTTCGGTTTATCAGGCTTATAAGACAACTTTTTCACCAAACACGTAACTTTTGCTTTCGTGTGCTGAATTGTGTAATAAGCAGAAAAAGTAAGGTTGAAGTTACTTTTCTGGCTGTATTGGCTGAAGTTAGTGTGTTTTTTTACTCCAGGGGTCTGGGGGAGGGGGGCTGGGGGGAGCGTTGAGTTAGTGTAGATGATCATTTTAGCTAGGGAAAAGTGTCAAATAGGCCCCCCCCTACTAATACGAAAAAGTCAATTAAGCCCCCGAACTCAAAAAACATCCAATTAAGCCCACGAACTAAATGTAACGAGGCTAAACAGTCCTTTTAGCAGAATTTTAACTGTTCCCCAGTTAAGTTGCATGTGTGGCAAATGATGTGGCATGCTTTTACATTTTCTTTTTCTCTTACTTTCCTTTTTTCCTTATCTCTTTTTAACCGCTTAATTACCTGCTAAAAGGTCTGTTTTGCCTCGTTTTTTATAGTTCGTGGTCTTAATTAAGTGTTTTTTGAGTTCAGGGGCTTAATTGACTTTTCTGTATTAGTAGGGGGCCCTATATGACAGTTTTCCCTTTTAGCTATTTTACATATAATTTTTTCTTTATTTTACTAATAAAATATATTTTATTTTTTTTCTTAAATCAACAGAATCTGCTAATGCACCCACTTTAGTCAGAACTTCATAAATTTCAGTAGAATCAGCCAAATCATCTGATTTTCATTCTATCAAACGGGCTCTAAGGATGTTTTCCTTTGGACTATTTTCAGTCCCAGACCAGACCAGATCAGATCATACCAGACCAGATCATACCAGATCAGATCAGACCAAACCAGTCACATATGTTGACTAACAACATATGTGAGTGCTTTTATAGTGTGATTTTAGAGGCTAGACAATAGGCTATTTTGGTGTGCCTAGAAACCATTAGGAAACTTCTTCTAACAAAGATTTTCAGTAGTAGAGAAAAAGCGAAGAAGTGGACTAGAAACATTTGCCCTAGGATTGTTAAAAAATTATAGGGTATTGAGAAGTTGGCAGTAGGTTTAATTGGAATTCAATGCGGTGATAATGAATTTGAGATCACAAGTATGTCTAGTACACAACATGGGGTTGATTTGGATAAGAGAATGTGTAGTTGTAGGATTTGGGACTTAACTGGGATTCCTTGTAAGCATGCGGTTTGTGTAATTTGGTTGAAATTTGGAAGGGGTCCAATAGATGCATATGCGCACTCTTGTTATACAAAGGACACATATATGAAGATATATGGGGGGACCATTAGGCCAATGGATGGGCCAGATGAGTGGCCACTTACTGACATAGTGCCTCCTCTTCCACCTTTGTATACAACTAGACCTGGAAGACCTAACATGTAAAGGAGGAAATCAACAGTGGATCTATGCAATGATGGATTCAAAGTGGCAAGGACACATATCAAGTTGCACTGTTCTAAATGCAAGAAGCAAGGGAATAATGCAAGAAGCAAGGGCATAATGCAAGGAGATGACCAGATGATCCAATTAACAACAAAGACAAATTGGTGTACTCCTACTATATATTGATTGTTCTTCTGGCTTAGTGGTGGTTGTTGTTTCATTTTACAGTGTTATCGTTTCTTAGTAGTGTTGATCTAAGCAATTGGTGTGTTGTTGTTTCTTATGTTGTTTCTTTTTATGGTATTTATTCATTTGTATGTAACAGTTCTGTTGTTTGATATGTTTTTTTGTTATTCAGAGTTAATTCATTTTTATGATATATTTTGTACTCAGATGCAGCCTAGGAAAATAAGTGCAAAACATAAGAAAAGGCAGACTGTTACTGATGATATAGATGATGGTGTTGGGGATGACAGTGTTAGTGGTGTGCAGCCATTTGATGAGGCCAATCTAATACGGAGTAGATATTAACATGCAATGTGCAGAGGAGTCATCATTTCAAAGTGAGGTCCCAATTGTAGTTTCTGTAAAGGACAATGGTATGTTCACACAAGACACCCAAGCCACCCAACTCACTACTGATCTCACAGAAGAAAGGCAAGAGCGTGAAGAAGCAAGTGAAGAAGATAATAAAGATCAAACTGATGAAAAGAGTGAAGAGGAGCATTCTGAGGTTGAACAGAGAACTACTCATGGGATAAGGATAAGCTACGGACCATCCCGTTGTGCTAAACCAAAACCCAAAAAGATGCAAGTTAAAAAAGGACCACGTTATGCCACTCGATCAAGAACAACATTAAAATCTGTTTTATTTGGAAATGATGATGCCCCAATTGACTTAGACTAGTGGTTCATGTAATTCATGTATGTTTTTGGTTGTATCTTTTGATGTTGAGCACTAATGGACATGGTATTTTAATGATGCTACTTTGGTTGTCATGTACATGTTTTTGTAATATGTTTGTGTAAGGTGTACTTGTTTAAGCAAATATGGTTTGTAACTTAAAACATGTTGTCATGATATGTTTGTAACTTAAGCAATATGTTACATGGTTTTGTAACATTATATCAGATTGAAAATGACATATTAATTGAATGTATGTTTTTGTAACATGCTTTTTGAATGACATATGTTTGTCTTTTGAGGATGTATGTATATGATTTTGTAACATGCTTTTTGAATGACATATGTTTGTCTTCTGAGTGAATGATAAATTTGTGGGTGGTGTGTATTTGTAGCAGAACTGGAACGAATTGAATAAGCAGGTGAGACAACTATATATTTCAGAAATGGTAAATTTCAGAAATGTTGAATTGGAATGAAAACATTTGGGACAGTTTTTGGGACGGTTAAAACCGTGGAAAACCAAAAAGGCGTGTGACAATTTAGAGACGAATCCAGCCGTCTCTATTTGAGACGGAAAAAACCGTCTGAAAGCTGCCTCTAATTTTGGAAAAAGGGTCAAATATACCCTTTTACTATTACGAAATAGTCACTTAAACCCATGTACTTTATAAAGCATCATACACACCCATTTACTCTAAAAAAAAGAATCAAATAAGTCAAAAATATTGAAGGTAACCTTTGATAGGAGGTCATCCTCCAATTTTCTCTCATATTTATTTTTTTCATTTTCTTTTTAATTAGTAGACCATGTTTCCATGATTCCCAGTTCCCACCACCAGAATGCACCCTGGCCGTACACAATTTTTTCATAAAAAATATCGGGCAAAGGGATTCGATCCCTGAACGGGCTATGAGGTGCACAGAACGGAGCTCCAACTCAGCTACAAACTTATTGCTTATAATTTTTCTTCGAAAGATATGTATTGCGTTACCTATCACACTATTATTACTTAGCTAGAGACTTGTAGTACCTTCGTCTAATTTTATGTGTCTCATTTGGTCTTGGCACAATATTTAATAAACTAATTGAAAATGTAAAAGTTGTAATTGAGATTTGATTATAATAAAGTGAAGTGTTGTGAACCACATATTTCTTTCGAAAAAGAAAAAAGTGACACTTATTTGGGACAACCCAAAAAAGAAAGTAAAACAGGTAAAATGGGACGAAGGGAGTATTAAATACGAAGTATAGATGAATTTGTAATTATAATAATATGTATTTTATTGCTATTATTATACTAGATTAAACTAAGGAGTATTTGTGAAAGATTCAAAACATCTATCAATATTATTTATAATTTTAACATGGAGTATATAGCTATTATTTTCACATATTGTCCATCTATCAAATATTTATACTCCCTCCGTCCCTTATAACTTTGCCAACTTTCCTTTTTTGGTTGTCCCAAAAACTTTGCCACTTTCCCTTTTAATCAATCAATTTGTGGCTCCTGTTATTTCTCTCTTCTCTACACAAATTTCTACCACACAATTTTTACTTTATTATTCTACGTGTCAGTCAAACATGGCAAACCTTTAAGGGACGGAGGGAGTATATTCTTAAAAAATTAAGTAAATTAAATATAATTTTTATATGATATTAAATATAATTTTTTTATCATATAAATTTAATCTACGGGGATTTCTCAAATAGGATAAAATGGATCTTTAATACAAGAATATGAATATAACTTTAAAATTCCCAAAATGAGAAAGCGGCCCAGCTCAGCTGGTCGCCGACTCATTCTCCCTTATGGGAGATCCCAGGTTCAATTCTCAATGGAATGAGATTGAACCCAGTTTACCCCAGGCTTTACCCATGACCTAATAAGAATTTCTTTACTGATCCATATTGACTCATGACACCGTCATTTTCCGGGTAAACCCGCCAAGAAAACATGTCAATATATAGTGAAAAATAAGAGGGTTTTACCAAAATATCACTAAAATAAAATTTATTTACACATAATTGATTAATAGTTACTAAAATGTAATGTCATGGTAATCTGAGTTTAAAGATTGAACATAAGTTATTATGATTTCATTATTAGTTTAGTCAGTAGTCACATTTTTGTAAACAATCTTTATTTTAGTCATAAATATGAAATTATTTCAAAAAATGAACATCAAATATATTTAATTATATATTACATTAAATTTATATGGTAAAAATTACTCTAATTCAAAATATAATACTCCTTATAAGAATCGATAAAAAAAAAGAGAAAATAACTATAAATAATACAAACTATTTTTTTGTGAACTAAGAATAATACCTACTTTGAAAATAAGTCTTAATAATACCAACTATTTAAATATAGACAAAAAATGAGTGAATATATTTCCAAATATCATTTATTTGATGGATTTTCACTAGCTTTTGATGTCTTAAATGATCGGGATTTTTTTTGTCAAAAAATGAATTCATATTATTTTTGTTTTACATTTTCGTAATTATTTTTGTCTTAAATGATGGTATTATTAAAATTCATTTTCGTAATTTGTAATATTATTGGTTCATGGGTGATAGTTGATATTATTTAAAATTATTTTTCCATAAAAAAAATAATCCTTATAAGAATAAATAAAAAAGAGCCATAACATATATATTTTCAACAAATTCAAATGTGTTTAGAATTGAATGGAATATTAAAATTAATAATATTAATAGGTATTTTGTATCTTTCACAAATAATCTGTACTTTATTAGTATAATACAATAGTATCAATAAAAATAATCGTAATTATTTTATAATGACAAATTTATTTATTTATATGTAAAAACAATAGTGTGCAGAGATAAGGTATATTTATCCTTCGAGTTACATTCCTGCACAATAAGCATGTAGTGTAGTTGGTTGTCAGTCCAAGAAGCACATCCGAAGTCCATGGGTCGAGTCCTGTGGAGCCAACTTTTTATGAAAAATCTGTGAAGATCCAAAGTTTTGGTTTTGCTAATCAAGCTATTCCGCACTCCGTATTAAATAAAACAGAAAAATGAAAAAATAAATATGTAAGAGAAAAGGTGAAGGGATGACCTGCTACTACAGGGTACCTTTAGGTATTTTGGTTCAATTGACTCTTTTTTAAAAGTTGGTGGGTTTGGATGACGCTTTTTAAAGTACACGGGTTTAAGTGACCGTTTCGTAATAGTAGAAGAGCCTATTTGATCCTTTTTCCTCTAATTTTAAATATCCTTCGCTTCAATGAGTAGCCAGAGTTTCCGACCAACGTATTTTGACGGATCACAACCGTCTCTAAAACGTCTTTAACTTTATCAGTTGTAATTCTTGTCGCAATTCAAACGTTTTTTTGTAGTGTCCACCGCTGGAGCTCAAACCACCAAAGTTACCCCATTGAATGGAGTTATATCAAGAGGGTGGTGGAGGAGGAGCGATCGTAGATGAGAAAGCCTCAAATTTTGTTTTACGGAGTATTAATTTTTGTGTTGCAATAGTTGAACTCTTCTAAAGTGTGCATTTTAATCAACCACACTCTTGACTATAAAAAAAGATCATGTTGGGCCCACATAAATATATGCAAGACTCACATATATTCTATTACATCATTTGTTTTGACTAGGCTATATGAAAAAGTATATACTCCCTCCGTTGTTTTAAATTGCAACATTCTTTTTTTCACATTTTTCAACACAACTTTGACCATTATTATATTTAATTTTGTAATTGTGAAAAATAATTAAAAATCAGATTACGAAACTTAGTAATGAGGCGAATTCAATAATATCTTTCAAAAAAAATAATTCACATACAATGATAAATAAAATGTAGTCAAAATAGAGTAGATGAATAGTGTTTAAATTCCAATGTTACAAGTTACAACTAATGCAATACGGAGGATAGTACTTTGTTTTGATATATCCAGTACTCTGTTTTGAATAGGCTATATGAAAAAGTATATACTTAATACTTTGTTTTATTATTCCCTTCCAGCCCTATAGCTCACGGCGTTGTATTTAGAATCCACTTGACGTTAAAGCTAAACTTTTTCTTACTTAAGTAAATAAAATTAGAGATAATTTGAATTTGCACTCCATTTTATTATACAAATTGGATTTTGCATTCCATTTTTTTTGTATTTGCACCCCAACCTCGTATGAAAAGACAAAAAAGCCCCTCCATTATCAATTATGTTGACCTTCAACATATTTTGATTAAGGGACATTTTTAAAATGAGCATAAAACCAATACCATATGAGCATACGTAACTTACAAAATGAGCATTGAAAAATTCAAAAACTCATTTAAATTCTCTAATGTATTCAAATATTCATTTGTGTATGCTCATTTTCTTATTTAATCATTATACTCATCTGAATATAATAAAACTCCTAATTATAATAAATACATCTAGTTGATTCGTTATTAACAATTAAATAAACTATCATTATATATAATAGTGAGAACTATAAAATGTTATATTAAAAATAATTTATAGTCTTTTGTTATTGAATTACAAATATAATCGTGTTGTTTTTATAATATTTACTCATTCATATCTGTTTCACACTATATTCATTTTAGTATAACACAAAACTCCATGTTAATAATAACACACCATATTTATTAAACTAATAAATATTTATCTTAAAATTAAAAATACAAAAACAAAACACTAATATCTAAAATATTCTATAATGCACGAAATAAAAAAACTAAAGTTAGAAGGTTGATTGGAAAAAGGAATAGACAAACTCAAACATTACATAATATTTTAAATAATACATTTTCCTAATAATCAAATTAAATTAAATTAAAACATTGTTAATTAAATACGGAGTAAAAAATAAAGAAAAAGAAAGGACATCTTAATATATATAAAAACACAATCGTCTGGAAAACTGTTCCCGCCTGGGCGCAGTTCATGAAGTCATCGTGACATCTCATGCCATATGAAATGCCGGACATTTAGGCAAAAAACTTGGCACTTCCAATTAGAAAAAACAGTTATAGTGTATGCGTATCACAAAGCTTGACACATATGGAGTTAAATTGTCAATGTAAAAAATGACTCAGCATCCAATTTGTTCTAGAAGGCTGAAG